TCCTTTCTTCCCCGCTTTTCATCCCGCCCGCATCTCAGTCCTTTCTTCCCGCTTTTCATCCCGCTCGCATCTCAGTCCTTTCTTCCCCGCTTTTCATCCCGCCTGCATTTCAGTCCTTTCTTCCCCGCTTTTCATCCCGCCCGCATTTCAGTCCTTTCTTCCCTGCTTTTCATCCCGCCCGTTTGTACCAATTTCTACCCCGCTTGGCCACCATAAATAATGACATTGGCATATAAAAGCTTTTAGGATCTTCGTTTTGCTCATTTCCCAAGTCATTTTTCATTTTCATCCTAAAAAAAAAACGATAAATTAAATTAAATTGCAAAATTGATCAATTTCACAGCATCTTTTATGTCATTTTCCAAGGTGACACACTCAGTTCAATCGCACTGTACCATCTAAATTAGTAATAAGCAATTTTCATTTTCTAATTAATGAAATGGTATCCGATGCAATAAAAAACCTCATACTTTTGGAAAAAATGATGAAGAAAAGTACAACAAACTTTAATTGAGAGAAAAGAGATCAAAGATTATGCATATATATATATATATATATATATTCATATATTTAATAGGTTTTGAACAATCACAAATTCTGAGTGAAAATATATTATCAGTTTGCAACATTTTGAGCAATTTTTTTAAATTTAAAAAAAAAAAACCATCCTATCAGCTAAAAAACTTCGTATGTTTACTTATGAGGTCAAAGATAATGGAAAATGATAACGTATGATGGTATATTCAAGATAGCCTGCTTATGATAGCATATCAATGATAATTGAGAACAATGTGGAAACAATTTTATAGGTTATACGAATAAGAATAAAAATGATTTAACTAAATTACGGTATGAAATTATTGTTCGTGCATTGGTTTTTTTTTCTTTTTGATTTTTTAATTATTCAATAATCTTGTTCAAATATTTTCAAATAAAAATAAGCAATTAAAAGACTTTTTTTTTCAACGATTTAAAATTACAAAATCGTTCTACAATACATCATCAAATTGAATTTGCAATATGTATTTTCAATGATATTGACGAATGAAATAAATAAACGGAAATGGATGATGTGTTTTGGAAATGGCATCAGCAAATTATACCATACCCATCAATTTACATTCAAAGAAAAAAGAAAAAAAAAAAGGAAGTTCTAAAAATAGAATTTCAAAGAATGAAATCATATTTTAAACTGAAGAATTTTTGCTTTTCTTCTATTAAATCAATAAAATTTAATCGGATAAAAGAAAAAATGATAAAATGGAATATCATAATTTAATTTAATATCCTAATTTGACTAATGAAATATCGTAATTTAACAAATGAATTACTATAAGTTAACCTCATTTTTTACTTAAAAAATATCAGTGACTAGAAAGTTCTTTAATTTATTAACCGCTGTTCAGTTTCTTATCAAAAAAAAAAAATGCAACTGCTGCATTACCGTATTCAGAAATGTTCATTTACCATTTCATTCTCTCTTTTTCATTTTGTGTTATACTCATCATATTAATTATAATACGATACTTTTCGGAAAATATGCAAACATATTTATTACAATAACCAAAAATATTTATTTTTCTTCCGCATTCATACTGTATTTATCGTATGAGTTAAGATGATATATAATTTTGGATAAAAGATGGAAAATTCGTTACCTCTTATTCATTTATTGATTTTCTCACTTATTAATCATTTCTTGATATCAGTAATTTTTCAAAAATAAAATCATTTACATATGTTGAATGCATTCTTACATTATTCATGCATTTTACAAAATTTTAATTTTACCTAACATATTAAAAAATCTTACACATAATTTGCTAAAAGCTTTGAATCATAAAAAAAAAAAGTACGATGACAATTTTGAGTGCTATTTTCAGTCTTATATGAAAGCTTATCTGAATTTTATAAATATCAAGCAAAAAAAAAGAAAAGAAAAAAAAATAGTTCTCTCAATTTCAATTAATATTTCAGGTTTTGTGCCAAAAAAAAAGAAAAGTCAATATTTGTTAAATTTCAAACACGTTTTGATTTTTAAATACATTAAATTTAAGCAAATAATTAAAACAACAATGTTTTTTATATCATAATGAAAAATATTAATTTACTACCTTAAGGCAAAATTAATGCAAGACTGTTTAGAATGTTTGTTTTTTTTATGGTAAATCAACGATCAAAATATTTGTGGTAAATTTACCACAAATTTTTTCAATTAAAAAGTCATTGTCGTCAGTTTATTACTAATGGAGACAATGAATTGGACAATAGGCAGGAAGGAAAATAATAATGAAACAAAATTTCCTGGGATAAAATTGAAAAAAAAAAGTAGCGGAGAAGATCCAATTAAGTATATTAGTAAAAATGAAGTTAAAGCATAAGCATAATGTTTGATAGAAAAATTAACGAAGTTTGTTTTGCTTCCTTTTTCTTTTTTCGACTCATCTCTCTCCCACTCCCTTTGTTGTTATTATTTATTATTATTATTATTATTATTATTATTATTATTATTATTATTATTATTATTATTATTATTATTATTATTATTATTATTATTATTATTATTATTATTATTATTTATTATTATTATTATTATTATTATTATTATTATTATTATTATTATTTATTATTATTATTATTATTATTATTATTATTATTATTATTATTATTATTATTATTATTATT